CACCACCAGTCTTTTTCCATGCCCACCCTTGTTTACAGTAATATGGTTAGTTTCAGTTCCTTAAATCTGCAGGTTACTTAATGTTACTAAATATTATGTAGAGCAAGAGCCAAGCAGCCGAAACCTTTTGCTAAATGCAACTTATGATATTATTCAAGCAGATTGAACCTAATATCATCCATGTTTTTATGTACCCTTCCATGCCCCTGCTTCATTCCCCCCTTTGAAACTTCACCTTAATTCATAGATTACAGTGCAGTTTCATATTCCTGGTTGGGTTGGTAGAGAGGGAGGAGCTCCTCATACGTATTTGACTGGTCCTGTGCCCACAGGGCCATTACTTTTTCAGTGGTCTTCTTTTCCACCAACAAAGAAAGGCTACTAGAAATAGTTCGGACAAAGATTGGGAGAACACATGGCAAAATTACACATCCTGTGGCAATAAGCCTAATGAGTGCGACAATGGCCTGTAGGCCAGGCAGTTTAGGGAACCATGAACCAAAAAGTTAGCCAAGATTTAAGCCATTCCATTTTTGAACAGGGACATGGGCAAGATTCTCTATGCGTCTAGCCCACTGCTCAATGATTTCACCCACATCATCAAATCCCAGGCAACAGTTTGTAAAATTAAATTTACCACACACTCCCCCTTCAGCTGCCAATAGGTAGTCCAGAGCCAGACGGTTTTGGTAAATTTCATCCTGAAATTTCTTTTGTTGTGCCGCTAGAGTGCGCAAGGATTGAGCTGTCTCATTGGCAATCAGCTCGACCACCGCTTGGAGGCGAATAATTCAATTTAGCATGTATACAGGGGTACGGTACCCCCAAGACCCGTCTGCCGCCCACATGGCCATCCCATAATATTGAATGATTCTTTCTGGGGGCCACTCCTCATCCTTCCAGTCCCCTATTTTGTAATCTGCTTTGAGCGTTCTACCCTGCCATTGATCAGCATTCAATACTTGAGGTATGTTTAATGGCAGCATGAAAAAAGAAGGGTTAATAACTCCCAGTGTACAAGCTCCTTTCCAATTGGAGGGAAGGGAGCTATAGGCCACATCCCCACATATCCAATGTACCCCAGGAGGGGCTGCAGTAATGTTTTCCAGGGAATATTTATACCAGAACGTGTTAGTCTTATTAGGCCAAAAGTCCCATGATTTCGTGGAACGGTTCCATTCATGGACTTCCAGACATTCCGTTTCCCCTACTGAGGGCCCCATCCCTTTTGTGTTGGCTAGGCACCAATGGACAATTATGGAGTTAGTTAGCTCCCATCTTGATAGAGGTTGGTGGTTCGGCATCACCGTGAGGTTGTAAGGGATGGAGTAGTTCCATTCCTATGCTGCCCACGGCCATTGGTCCCCTATTTTTGTGCCTCCGCAAATAAAACAATTGCTGACATTAAGAGTATGGGCTATAGTAGATGCTAATTCAAGGAAGAGATTGCGGGCCTCAGTGGATGGCTGGAACTCAATATCTACTTCCTGACAGAATTCCGAATAATACCTGTAATTGGTTTTAACAGGATGTTGCTTAGTTTCCAGGGACAAGTGGAGGATACCTCCAGGATCAACACCCTTAGCATAAATCCTAATAGCCATCTTGGACCCATATGTTGAGAGCCAATTACGGGGGTTTGGTATAGTGATATTAACCCAGTTACATTCATAAAGCCTGTTGCATTGTTGAGACTGCTTAATCCTTAATATTTGGAGATCTGCCCCTTTCCCTTTGTCTGGATTATATGTGGCCCACCTAACACAATCCCAATAATAACAGTAAGGGAGCATTTTGATTGGATTCAGGCACTTGGTATTCAGCCAGTGGTCCCTCCCTGGATGGTGAAAAGGGCAGATATATATGTCATTCTGTGCATAGATTCTATGCCAAGACAGAGAAGACCCGCAGGAATTTCCCACTTGCTGGGCCAGTTTACATAAATCAAATGACAGAGTCCCTGGGCTGGTAGGGGACATTATCAGTACCTGGGAAAGAACAGGCCCATTCGGGGATCCTTTACTTCTGGCAATTAACCATGTTTGGGCCGGATTGACCTTGGGGTCATAACATTCATTCTTCTGGGGACACACAGAATACCAAATATTTTTATAGCAACAAGGAATCGCCTTGCCCTGGCAGCTGTATTGGGTATGGTATACCAAAGTAGTAGTTGTTAAGCCTGGATTCCCCAACGGGTGTTAAGGAAAACAAACTAAACAGAACATGCAGCGAAGTCAGATAGGAAGACAGGTAAATGTGTGAGATAAGTTTTCTAGTTAACACGCAGTAAAAATACAGATACGCTTGTGCTATCAAAAATATTATTTATTCCATTTAAGAATTATAGCATAGTCAAATATAAACGGTCCATTAGTCATATATCAATTTCAGTCAAGTCTTGTCGGGGATACTCTATTTGCAAAGTCCGTGTTGAATAGCCAATGTCAGTTCACTTACAATAAATCAGTCCAATCTTTATTTTCTCTCCGTTGAGAAAATAAACACTCCTTTTTCTTTCCCCGTTTCAGCAAGAACGCAGTCATCAATCCATCCAGTAATTAGAGATCAGTAAGCCAGAGAGAGAGAGAGCTGCATTTGCCTCGTTTCTATATAGTGCTTTTACAACCACACCCTTAATTACATTCCTGCAGTTAAAGTTACACACACTTTAACTAACAAACCATGATACCATATTTATTATTTTTACCCAAACCAGTTAGGGTAAACAATGTTATCCCTAACAGTAGTTACCGTTCTACCTTTTAACACAGTTTTGAGGCATGTGGTACAGTTATTGGGACATAATGGATTCGCGTTATGTGGGACCCGAGCTGGTTTTTTTGGAGTCACTTTACTTCCTTTGTCCGGGCTTCGTGGTTTTGGCAGGAGGGGTACTTTCGGCGGTGGAACAGTGGGATGCTCTTTGGGATTCTGCCAATATGGAGTGGGCACGGTTCCGGCATCCACATAACACACGAGGCCTTGGTTTCCTAGGCATCGGTTCACAGGAACCGCGATTTTCACCACACCAGTACACTTGGTACCATTACATGATGTGGGAGGGCTCCAAGTGGTGTGAATACATTGTGGTGGACTGAAATCAGTGCACGTTGCTGGTTTTCCTTTCAGATATCTGAGACCCCCCCGTCCATCTTTACACTCGGGGTGTCTGTCACACTTCTGCCCCTCAGAGAGAGCTGAGGATCCGTCTCTAGGGATTGCTGTATAGCACTGTATCCCCTGGGGTCCAAAGCATTTTAGTACCAATGTGTTTTGTAGCTTACCTTGTTTTATAGATAGCATTTGATAACAAGTAGAGGTTATGTTAAAAGTTGTGCAAGTAGGCGGTGTCCCAATATATGCTATCAATATTCCCTTATTATCCAAGCACTTATCACACGCGGGGTCCTCTTGGGGAACCAGCTCATGGCCGGGATTACGGGGGAAATGAGTTTGTTTAACGGGGACCCAGGGGGAGCGCAAAAGATAGCACCTTATCGTGTTGTTTTGCATACACTGCCAGTATGCTGTTGCCTGATACTCACACTGAGGAAGATTAGTAATTAAACAACCAGGGGGCCTATTCTTACTATAAGTGAAATGTTTTCCCGTAGATCGCATCATAAAGCAATTGGTACACCATTCAGTTTTCCTATCAGTCCCCATTTGTGGGGAATCCTCATCCTCAAAGGGGTCGGGAGAGTACCATTCTTCCACAAGATCCTCATCAGGAGGCATCGGCTCATCCTTGCCAGTTTTATTCTGCATTAACACTGAGTATAAGTATAGCGAGTTAATCGTAACACTGAGTACTAGCAGGATGGTAACAATCCAAACAGAAGGCATAAGCCCCCTGCGGATACATGCAGTTTCTCTAAGCCTTTGGTTAGTTTCCATTTTTCCCCAATTCCCCCCTTTTCATAATCTAGTACTGCCCAAGTCAGACTTGAGACCTAAGTTGCCAAGGAAGACCCGTGTGTTGAGCGTCAGCTTCCGGAGTAATGCTTACAGGGGTCTGTCGGTTTTTGTCTCCCATAGGTAGAGGGACAGCTTCCGGTGTGTCACCGCTAGGGGAGACAGGCTCCTCTTCATCTCCCGTAGGTAGAGGGACAGCTTCCAGTGTGTCACCACTAGGGGAGATATTCCTCTTCACTTTCCGGAAAAGTACCCTAAGTGGAGAATCTGATTGGGATTCAGCTTTCCAACAGGTGGGTGTGGCCAATTTAACCTGGGACCAGTGAATCCACGATTTTATCTCGGCCACCTTAACTGCAAGGGGAGAACACATAACTACAGTATAGGGCCCTTTCCATTTTGGACTCAAGGTCTCCCGCTTCCAATCCTTAACCCAAACCTCCTGCCCCGGATGTATATTATGTGGAGAGGTCACCAGTACATGGGGTTTACATGTCAGGACATATCGTTGCAGTTTGCAGATGGTATCATTAAGCGTCTGAAGTTGTTTTAATCTAATTGTATCAGAGATCCGGGCATTACCGTGAAGATTGAACCGGACCAGATTGGGGACCCGGCCATATAGCAATTCAAATGGGGAGACAGCAATGTCTTTGCGCGGGGCACAACGCACAGCTACCAGTGCTAAACTCAGGGCATCTGTCCATTTAAGGTGGGTTTCCTGACAGATTTTAGCTAGTTTATCTTTAATGGTTCTATTAATTCTTTCCACCCTACCCCCTGAGGGGGCATGAAAACTGCAGTGTAACTTCCAAGTAATACCCAGCACCTTGGCTAATTGTTGGGTCGCTTTGTGAATGAACTCCGGACTGTTATCGGAGGAAATTCTGGAGGGTAGCCCATACCTAGGAATTACAATGTGGAGTAACGCCCTCGCAACCTGGGTGGCCTTCTTTGTACGTGTGGGCACACATTCAGGCCATCCTGTATATGTGCACACTATAACCAAAAGCGCATTGTAAGGCCCACATCGAGGCATATCCGTAAAATCAATCATTAAAGAGTCAAAGGGATAGCAGCCTCTAGGTTGGTGGCCTCGGGGGGGGGGGGGGTTGCGGGCCCTGCCTAGGTTTGTTAGCTGCACAAACTTCACAGCGAGCACAGACATTGGCTGCAATGCTACTAATTTTATTTATATACAGTTCCTGCTTCAGTGCCTTTGTCAGGGCTGTTTTCCCCAGGTGCAGCTGTTGGTGTACCTGGCGCACAATATCCCATGCCAGATGTGTGGGTATGTACACCCTATTATCTGGCAGGACCCACCAATCCCCTTCTAGGTGTGCCTCAAGAGCCTCAATTTGTGCCATGTCATCTTTGGAGTAATGGGGTCGTGGGTGAGCATCGGGCACCCATATTGCAAGGTCCCGTTCTGTGGGCATGTCAGTGAAATCTTTCTGGGCAGCCTCTCGCGCAAGTTTATCTGCCTTCTCATTTCCCTTTTGTACATCAGTAATGGCCTTCTGATGTCCTTGGCAATGCATAACTGCGACCTTGTTAGGGGCCCATACACTCTCTAAGAGACGTAATATTTGGGGACCATACTTGATATCCCTGCCTCCCGCAGTGATGAGCCCTCTTTCCTTATATAGTGCCCCATGGACTTGAACCGTGAGGAAGGCATACTTTGAATCTGTATAAATGTTAACCGCCAACCCTTGGGCCAGCTCTAAAGCTCTAGTCAGGGCATGTAGTTCTGCCAGCTGGGCACTTGTCCCGGGGGGAGGGGCTCTGCCTCCCATACATCATCCAGGGTAACCACAGCATATCCCGCCTTTCGCATTCCCTCCTGTAAGTAACTAGTGCCATCAGTGAATAGGGTGTAATCTGGAGCAGGGAGAGGTATATCACTCATGTCAGGATGGCTGGCATAGGTTTCCTCAATAGTATGGATACAGTCATGAGTTAGTCCAGTGTTGGGTTCAGGTAATAGTGTAGCAGGGTTCAAGGAGGTGGATTGGACAATATTAATCATAGGGTTATGAGTAAGAAGTCCCTGGTATTTCAACATGTCAGGGTTGGTCAGCCACAGATGGCTTTTTGTTTCCAACACTGATTTAAGGGCATGGGGGATATAGATGTCCAATTGTTGGCCAAAGGTTAGTTTGCAGGTCTCCTGTGTCAAGATGGCAGTCCCAGCAACTGCCTTAAGGCAAGCAGGCCATCCCTTAGCAACGTTATCAAGTTGTTTTGACAGATACGCCACAGGGCGGTGCCATGTCCCCATGACCTGGGTAAGGACTCCCACCGCCACATTTTGCTTAGTGTCCACAAACAATTGGAATGGTTTCTCCAAGTCTGGGAGACCTAAGCTCGGGGCCTGTAGCAAAGTGTGTTTAAGCAGGCAGAAGCTAGCTTCCTCCTCTGCATTCCATTGTAGGGGGTCTCTATTGGCACCTTTAGTAGCCTCATACAGGGGTTTGGCAATAAGGCTGAAGTTGGGGATCCATATGCGGCAAACCCCAGCTGCACCCAGAAAGCCCCTCAGGGCCCTCCTATTCGTAGGAGTGGGGAGCTGACAGATAGCTTCCTTGCGTTCATGGCCCAACGTGCGCTTCCCTTGTTCTATATCATAGCCCAGATATCTAACTGATTGCAAAACTAACTGTGCCTTCTTCCTAGAGGCTTTGTATCCTAGACTTTGCAAAAGGGACAGAAGGGCATGTGTATTGTTCCAGCAAACTTCTTCTGTATGCCCAGTAACCAATAGGTCGTCTACATACTGCAGCACTACATCAGGGGGCGGTATGTGTAAAGCCTTGAGGTCTTTCGCCAATGCAGCACCAAAGAGAGTTGGTGAATTCTTAAATCCTTGAGGCAGCCTAGTCCAAGTGTACTGTTGTTTCCAACCCGTGGTGGGGTTTTCCCACTCAAAAGCAAAGAGATGTTGGCTATTTTCATGTATGGGTATAGTGAAGAAGGCATCCTTCAAATCTATGACCGAAAACCACTGGGCAGCCTGGGGAATAAAGCCCAATATTGCATAGGGGTTTGGGACTACCGGATGGATGATTACTGTGGCCAAATTAACGGGCCTCAAATCCTGAACCGGGCGGAAACGGCCATCCCCTTTTGGGATGGGCAATATTGGGGTATTCCAGGGTGACTCAGTGGGCACTAGGATATGATGTTCCAAGTAGAGATCAATAATGTCTTGGACGGCTTGCATGATATGGCGGGGTATGCCCTCTGCCGAATCCTTATAGGTACCTGCATCGGCACCTCTTCGACTAAGATAGGAGGATGGTGGGCCGCAAAACCAGGGGGGTTATCCTCTGCCCATAAATGAGGAACTTCAAACTGTTTCCATTTCTCCTCATCAGTCTGCCCAAGATCCTTGGCTATCATAAGCCACCATGATTCCTCTAGGGGTATGGACAGGCTTACTTTCCCATACCCCAAATGCATGGATCCATCCTCCTTAAAAGATATTTGTGCCCGCAGTTTGCAGAGTAAGTCCCTTCCCAATAATGGGACGGGACAGTCAGGCATGTATACAAACTGATGAGTAATAGCCTGTCCTTTTAATGTACACTCAAGGGGTTCCAAAAAGGGGCATTGCAATATATTTCCGGTTGCCCCCTGGATATTAATAGTCTGTCGGGATGCCTGGGCCAGAGGCTGAGTTAAGACAGACTGGGTGGCTCCGGTATCAACTAAGAATGTGACTGGCTTGCCTCCAACTTTTAGGCTGACCATAGGTTCTGGGAGGCTGTCTGAACCCGGTAGGCCTCAGTCCCATTCCTCTACCTGTGCTAGGCCCACTAGCGGAGGCCTACCCAGGCCCCTCCCACCATCCTGTCTACCTCGGCCTCTTTCCGCAAGCCTCCTCTGGCCATTTTCCACCACAAAACTGAGATTTCGTGGGGGCCCTCCCCTATCCACAGGCCTCTCCATTTGATTTTTTTCCGGGCACTCCCCTTTCCAGTGTCCTTGTTTCTTACAAAAGGCACACTGATTAGGACCAAGTTCCTGTCTGCCCCCCCTCTGCAGACTACTACCCCTGCCCCTCTGTGGGCTAAACCCTGCGCCTCTGGATGGGTTGGGCCTGCCTCCTGGCGTCCACATCATGGCTGCTGCCATTAATTCAGCTTTCTGCTGCATTTTTTGATCCTTTTTCCTCTCCTTCTCCTTATCCCTGTTTGCGAAAACTTTTCGGGCTACCTCCATTAGTTCACTCATGGGTTTCCCCAGGGCACCCTCGAGCCGTTGCAACTTACATCTAACATCCAGGGCGCTCTGGGAAACGAATGCCATAATCAACATCCGGGCATTTTCTGGGTCAAGAGGGTCAATAGGGGTATACATGCGATAGGCATCAATGAGGCGTGCGTAAAAGGCCTCTGGGCTCTCAGTGGGTTCCTGTAACACTAGAGAGGGCTTTGACATATTGATCACGGGTTTCCCAGCAAGGCGGATGGCCCGCATGACAAGAGACTGATAGTCTCTCAGCCGTTCCTTCCCTTCATCCATGTAAAAATCCCACTCTGGGTTCTCAGACGGGAATTTTTCCCTCATAAGGTCTGTAATGGAATGATTCAGTCTAACATCAGGCTTCAGTATCTTGGTCACTGCATTCCTAATCTTCTCTCTCTCCTCAGGATTAAACAATGTCCCCATGAGTTGTTGAATATCTAGCCAGTTAGGATTGTGTGCGTCCATTATTGTTTTCACCAAGTCAGCCACTTCTGTGGGCTTTTTACTAAATGGGCCATAATGTAATTTCCAGTTCAGCAAGTCGGAGGAGGTAAAGGGCACATGTTGGAACAGTGACAGTGTGACTGACTCAGAGGGATTCTTAGGATTGATTGCCAATTGATCCACCTGTCTTAGGGGGGCTACCAGGGAAGGTTGCTCTGTCTTTGCCCTAGTTCTAGCTGCCACCGGTTCAGTCATGGATGAGACACCTGGGATTGCTGGCGCCTCCTCCAAAGACACTAGACCGGTTGCGGGTGGAATGGGATCGGGCCACTTCTCCACTGGAGTAGAGGTCGACCGTTGAGATCAGTCGGCTTGGACCGACCGGTCCATCCTCGATGGTTTAGAGGGGCTTCTTACATACGGGGACAACTGATCTAATTGGGCCATGAAACCAGATACCCCTGACGACTCCTTGCCTTCTGAGCCACTATTGAATCCACCTGGGGGCACATATGGTGGGGGGTGAGGTTCTTCCTCTGGGCAGCTGGGTAAAACCTGTGTGGCCTTTTGCAACTTCTTAAGGGTAACATTTCGCGACAACAAGGCCTTACACCGTCGCATTTTGAGCTTTCGTAACCAGGGGGGGGGGGGTGATTCAGTAAATCAACCCAAACATCTATATAGGGGGCCTGGTCTGGATGTCCTAAAGTAGGGTGGAAGACTAGGCAGTGTACCTGTACTGCTGTGGGAATATCAAGTGTGCCTATCGGGGGCCACCCAAAACCAAATGTAGGCCACTCTGTCTCGCAAAATTTTCGGAGTTTCAACCTGCTCCACTTATAACCGTAATCCTGTGATTGGTATGCCTCCTTAAAATGCTTTAACATAACCTCTAACGGGGTCACGGGCTTGCTTTCTCTCCCACCCATGAACCACCCAAATAACCAGACAAGACAAGTGAGGAAAAGGATTGGAGAGGAGGGTATGGGGTCCCTCCTTCTCCAGACACAATAAGGAGTTACATACACACACGGCCGACCCAGGGAGCCGGATGCACATGGTCTCCAATGGGAACTGCGGACGCCACTCGCTTTCTACTGACCCACGGTGCCGGACACTCATGGTCACCAATGGGAACTGCAGTAGCCTCTCATCACAATCGGACCTGACAATTCCACCCACCTTACCTCTCAAGAGAGGGTGATCAGTCCTCTCCTCCGTCCCTGTTTACAGGGAGGGATTATTTCCCCAGTTCAATACTTGCCTGCAGGCGTCTTCCTTCTTCACAGCTGGCCAGCCCCAGTCCTGTTCTTCTCACCTTTCACCAGTGGTTCTTGGAAGTGTCAATCGCCAACGCCAGCGAACAGCTGTCTGAGGAAGTCCCTCGGATTCAATGGTCTGATGGCGCCTGGGATGTTCCCCGCAACTCACCAATACACTGGCAGTCGGGATGGACCCCCCAAGAGGGCCTCAGGGCCCCTCTTGTCCTGCCTCGGTCGCCATTAAATGTAGCAGCAAATCGTGTTTCCAAAACAGGACACGAGACCACGAAAGGTGGAAGAATACAGGTTTATTTGCGCAAAGCGTTCAGAGCATTAGCATGGCAAATTCTGAACCCCCCAGCTCCTCCTGGGATGGTTCCTTTATACCCATTATGACATCAGTACAGACCTGGGCATTCATCTTATCATATTTACCAAATATGGACAATAATACATACATGATTATACGGAAAACATGAAAAACATCTTTTTCCAAGAAGGAAGTATAAAGAGGTTATGATAAACATATTTTGATTATTCAGTTATCTTACACCACCAGTCTTTTTCCATGCCCACCCTTGTTTACAGTAATATGGTTAGTTTCAGTTCCTTAAATCTGCAGGTTACTTTATGTTACTAAATATTATGTAGAGCAAGAGCCAAGCAGCCGAAACCTTTTGCTAAATGCAACTTATGATATTATTCAAGCAGATTGAACCAAATATCATCCATGTTTTTATGTACCCTTCCATGCCCCTGCTTCAACGTGACTAGCTGGGCATGGCTTGGTGGTCATGTGACTGCCTGGGTGTGGTCAACTCAACATCACTCACATTGAAGGGCGCTTCTCCTCACCTGGCCACTCATGATTGTGGGGATGCTGCAACCGTTGTGTGAAAAACGGTCATAAGTCACTTTTTTCAGTGCCATTGTAACTTTGAATGGTCACTAAATGAACTGCTGTAAGTCTAGGATTACCTGTACAAAAATACAAAAAGCCAAAATACAAAATACCAATCATTAAATTAAAAATACCTGCAAGCCAGAGTTACAAGTCAGGCAGAGTGCCAGCAGCCGAAACCTTTTGCTAAATGCAACTTATGATATTATTCAAGCAGATTGAACCAAATATCATCCATGTTTTTATGTACCCTTCCATGCCCCTGCTTCAACGTGACTAGCTGGGCATGGCTTGGTGGTCATGTGACTGCCTGGGTGTGGCCAACTCAACATCACTCACATTGAAGGGCGCTTCTCCTCACCTGGCCACTCATGATTGTGGGGATGCTGCAACCTTCTTCTTCTTCTTTTTCTTCAGCGTTTGTCTCACGCTCTGGCGAGGTCCGCTAATGTCCTTGAGTACTGCTTCCACGCCTCTCTGTCTGCTTCCACGCCTCTCTCTCTGTGGGGATGCTGCAACCGTTGTGTGAAAAACGGTCATAAGTCACTT